GTCACCTGCATTCCTTAGAGAGGACTCTTGAGTCCTTCCCCGGACCTTCCAGGTCCCTTATGGTGTCCTTTCCATGCACTAGTGCATCTTGTACATTCATCTCCATTCCAAGTCTTTACCCCTTCTCTGCTTTTCCTCATCCTTGCCTACATTTACAATCCTCTCCTCTCTCCCCCATCCCTTGCCCGGGGCATAACACCTTTCACCAGTACCACATTAATGACCTTCCACCATCCATCCCCTGCACTTCTCCACTTTCAGAAGTTGTGGTCCATTGGAGGCATCAGAAAGTGAATCAAAGTCCACTTTTTCCCGGAAATTTGACCTGGTAAACTTTATCCAAAACACAGATCATCCATTTTTGCCATGAAAAAGCACTGATCAGAGGCTTGATTCTAATTCTAACTCTGACAGAGACTCCACACATTGCCCTTTCCAGGCTTCAGTTTTCTTACTGGACATGAGATTAGGTGAGATGATCTTCCAATTCTAAGAATTTAGGGTTCTCTATTTTGTGCCACACACTCCTTTCTACCACACACATTTACAGCTTATGGATCTGCTACAGCAATGACCTTGTCATTTTTTGTAGTCATGTCCTGTCTCCCCAACTAGAGTGTGAGTAACATCTCAAGGACAGATTGCTTTGCTTTCCAAATATTCCATGTGCTTTCCTGCCTCCTCTATCCATATCCCTTTTCCACTAAGGGGGACAGAACAATATCGCCTAATTGAACAGCAACTTAGTGAGAAAGTAGGGTGGGAAATGAGCTGGGGAAGTTACCACTGTGCATCTGCCTCCAGTCCTTGCCCCTCTGCAGGGAGTACCTGGTGCCCCCCCTTTCCCTGCTACCCCTACGATGCCCTCAGCTCGATGGCTGAGATCAGCAGGGGCTCTCCTGCTGCCAGCCCCCCGGTGGGTGCCCTGGGAGAGGCAGCTGGGTCCCCCATGGCAACCCTCTCTGGCAAATGGGGGTCCAGCCCTGGGGGTCCAGCACAGTGCTCGCCACTGGTGCCAATCTCGGAGAGAGGAACCTAGGTGAGTGTATGTGTGTGGGTATTTTGGACTTAGGGGGTGGGGGTGGGTCTAATGAACCATCACTTAGGTTTATGACTCTACCCTATATTTTCCCAACCCCTCTCCCCTAGAATGGACGGAGATCAGAAATCAGTTTTTGCCCAAGAGAAGCAAGACTTTGTTCAGCATTTCTCCCAGATTGTAAAGATCCTGACAGAAGATGGGATGGGGCATCCTGAGGTGGGAGATGCCATAGCCAGGCTCAAGGAGGTGAGAGAACTGGTATGGCTTTGAGGGTAGAGTCTGGAATGAGTCCCAGGGAATTTGGAAGAGAAGCTGGGGATGAAGGGATGTAAGTGACTCATTCTCATATATTAAAATCTCCTGTGTTCATAGTCCTCCCTTGGCTGCTGAAAGTGGAGACCTGGAGGAAGAAGGTGTCTTGTATTTAATAGTATTAACTCATATTTAGATAATGCAAAATTATGCACAAAACCCACCAAAAAATCCCAACCCAATCCCTGTTCGTCAAGAAGCTTTCATTCTATTGGAGATATAGCATATATACAAAGCAGTTTGATTAGAGAGTTCAGGAAGGGCTTCGAGGAGGAGGTGGTACCTGAGTTGAGCCTTAAAGTCAGAGATGAGGAGCCTTGGGGCATTACTAGTGAGGATTCACAGCCCTGGGAGATGGGAGTTCTGGTTGTCCAGCACATATAGTAATAACATACAGTGTGTGAAGGAGAATCATGTGAAATAATAATGTTGGAAAGATTATGTAAGGCTAAAAAATTTGTATTTTACTGTAGGGGCAATAGGAAACCACAGAAAGGTTTTTGAACAGGGGAATAACATGGTGTTAGACTTCTGCTATGGGAAGATTATGTTGACAATTGTAGGAAGGATGAACTGGAAAAGGGAGAAAGTAGGATGAAACAAATTAGAAGCCTATTAGTTAGGTCAAAGGGTCATTAGGACCTGAATAAGAGAGTTAGCCATGTGGGGGAAGGTGTTGTGAAGGCAGACAACATTTGACTACTGAGTCAAATTTTATAAGGGGAATGGGGAAAAGAGGCTAGGATGGTTCCAAGGTTACAGTTCTGGGTGATTGGGCAGTGGTCTCTGATGAGAAATTCAAATCAATTCTACTTTGTAATTGTAATTTGTAATTGTATTCATTTCATATTGTAATAGATTCTGTATCTAGCTAAGTCTCTTTTCTATGTCCTTTAGTTAAATATAGGAATTGAGTTTTCCCCTCTGAGTTAGTTTAAAAGTCAGCCAGACCATTGTTGTTTTTCAATCATTTCAATCTTGTCTGACTCTTCATGACCTTCTTTAGGGTGTTTTTGGCAAAGATGCTAGAGTGGTTTGACATTTCCTTCTCCAGCTCATTTTACATATGGGGAAACTGAGGCAAACAGGGTTAAGTGACTTACCCAGGGTCACACAGCTAGTGTTTGAGGCCAGATTTGAACTCACAAAGATGAGTCTTTCTGATCCCAGTCCTGAAACTAGCTCTAAGAGATATATTGTCCCTGGACTGTCCTTGTACTATACTATTAAGGAAAGTCTTAACTTCCTAAAACACCTTTTTTGGCACCAGGGAGGGCTACTTACAATATGCAGCTGGATCCCATAAATCAATCAGCATTCCTTAATGACCAAGGAAAGTGGTATTAGCCCACTTTCCTTGATGTAACCAGTCATGTTGTCCCACCCCCTTGATGCTGTCTGTCCTTTAACCAATCACGTTGTCTTCCCCATGTACCTACCTCTGTTCTTTGTTCTGTGTTTACCTAAAAAGTGTTCTTAACCCCATAAATGGGTCTTAGCTTTGCTGAAGAAGCTAAGAACCTATATATTGGTAAATTCACACTTTATCAATAAATTGAATGTGCTCAGAATTTTGTGCCTGCTCACCTTAATTTTCAAAAGTAACAATGGGAAGGCTTCTCCCAGGTGAGATAGTGTGAAGACAGGCAGGAAATAAGGCATGTTTCCCCCTCACCCCTAACTGAGCAAGCAAGCACAATTACTAGGTTCTAAGTACCATGCTACATATTGAGGATATAAAGAAAAAGCAAACACAATACCTGTCCTCAAGGAACATACATTCTAATGGGGAAGATATATACATACATAGACACACACACACACACACACATATAGTGTGTATATCTACACATATACCCAACATACATACAGAGTGGATGGAAGATCACTTTAGAGGGGGAGTTATTAGCAGCTGGGGAGATGAGGCCTTCTGCAAAAGCTATGTGCCAGGCACTGTGCCAAGTACTTAGCCAATATCTCACTTGATTCTCAGAACAATGTTGGGAGGTCGGTGCTTTTAGTATTCCTATTTTACAGTTGAGGAAACTGAGGCAAACAGTTTAAGTGACTTGTCCAAGGTTACAGAACTAGTGTGTGAGGCTGCATTTGAACTTGGTCTTTCTGACTCCAGACCCAGTGCTCTATTTAATGTGCAACAGCTTGGCAGAGAGACTAGGCAGAATAGATAGATATGAATTTCATCTGCACCTTGTTAAGGAGTGATGAGGAGAAGGGAGTAAGAGATGGGCTGTAACAATCAATGATCTCTCCTCCTAACTTTGCCTCTCTCAACTCTCCACCCTTGTAGGTCCTAGAGTACAATGCCCTTGGGGGAAAATACAACCGAGGCTTGTCAGTGCTCATGGTATTCCGGGAGCTGGTGGAACCCCAAAAGCAGGATGCTGACAGTTTACAGAGAGCACTAGCAGTGGGCTGGTGTGTGGAGCTGGTGAGATTCAGAGGGTAGTGAAGCATCTCAGGGGAGGAGTCAGAGGAGAGATTGAGAAATACCGAGGCTCCAGAGTGAGATATCCCTGGGATAGGTGGGTAGAGGGAAACGTGTGGTGGAAGGAGATTTAAATCTGTGCCTGAAAGTTTATTTTGGGGTACATTTGGTGTTTCTGCATTTATAGAGTATGTAGTTTGTGGAGCAGAAACTTTCTAGCTGAAAAATATGGTTAAGTTTTTTTTTATTGTAGAGGGAAGTCAGGGAGTCTTCTGAAAAGCCTCTCTAGTAATTCTAGAAAATCTTTTTATTTTTAGATTTACAGAATTACAAAGGCCATGTTTCAATATTAGCAACAGAAATCCTCTTATTGAGAGTAAATATCCCTACTAGGTAACATTTCTTAAAGTTTTATGCCTTGATGAAAATTTTAAAACATTGGCAAAAAGTTTAAATATGTTACCTGTCTCAGGTTTTTGTTTGATGTCCCAAGTGCCAAATGATCATTTGACCTTCTTGCAACAGTCTATAAGGTTGCTTAATAACAGTTTCACCACACTGACAATTGTCCAGAGATTTTAAAGCACTAAATAGGGCTCTCACAATGGAGAGACAAGAAGGAATTTGTTTTAGACTCATGTACAGACTGGGAATTTTAGGCCTGCTTGATATAGCATATTGGGAAAGGTCTGGGATGAGATAAATTTCTCCATTTTGGGCTTTGTCTGGTAGGATGGAGGAGCCTTATCATGTTCTTTGCTTTTCTTCTCTAGCTCCAGGCTTTCTTCCTAGTAGCAGATGACATCATGGATGCTTCTCTTACTCGCCGGGGACAGCCATGCTGGTATAAGAAGGTAAATATGTCCTGGAGATGCCTCTGGGAGAAGAGCAGCAGGAGCCAGGGAGTTGGGACTGGGCAGGAGAAAATTAGGTTTGCTAATGGATATGCTGGAGAAATGGCTGAGATTATTCTCATCACCCTGTAAATGCCACCTCTGGTTCCATGCCTTGAGTATTAAGGTCTTCAGGTTGTCAGAGACCAACCTCCTTGCTTTCTCTCCCTTGACGCAGCCTGGTATTGGCTTGGATGCCATCAATGATGCCATGCTGTTGGAAGCCTGTATCTACCGCCTGCTGAAGCATTACTGCCATAGGCAGCCCTATTACCTGAACCTCATTGAACTCTTCCTACAGGTAAGGCAGGCAGTGGGTGTCAGACTGCACTGACCTTAGAGTCAGAAGAACTGGGTTCTCGTGCTGGCCCCAGTGCATTCTTCTTTCTGGATCTTGGTTTTCTCTTGTGCAAGATGAAGGAAGTTGGACTAAATGATCTTCAAGGATCCTTCCCCATCCATCCCCTCAAGTAATTCTAGTGTTCCCACTTGGCATGGGCATGACCATCCTTGAGGCTTGGATTCTTGGGTCTGGGCAGGCAAGATCCTTTTTTCAAGCTCCCCAAGTGGTTTTCCCCAGGTCATATTACAAATTAATCCCAAGCTCACCTAAAAGAAACCATAGAAGAGCAGAATGATATGTGGGAGAGAGAGAGGGGGAGTGGCACAAACTGCTTCCCTGTCTTGGTAATAATGGTGGAATTTGGGGGGTCTGGTCAATCCAATTCCATCCATCCTATAATTAGGATGATAGGATTCATTCAGAGACAGTGTGATGGGACAGAATGGAAAGACCACTGGACTCAAAGCCTGGAGATCAGGGATTGAATCTGACCTAAGCACCTGATATCTGTGCTCCTGAGCTGCCTTTTCCTTTTTTGTAACGTGGGAAGGATAATATTTGTCCACGTGCTTCCTCGACTTTTGTCAAGTACAGTAGAAATAGGAGCTATTAGAAGATTGGGGATCTTTCAAGTACCAGCTGGAGGAACCATTCTCTTCTCCCTGTTCTTGCTACCTCTCAGAGTTTATTCCACTTCCAACACCCCTCCCCCCCCCTTACAGCTTGTAGTGGGCTTTCAGTCCATTATTATTCAAAGCCATTCACAGAGCTCTGCCTTGATGGGTTTCTCTCTGTTTCTCCTCTGTAGACCACTTACCAGACTGAGATTGGCCAAACCCTTGATCTTACCACAGCCCCTCAGGGCAAGGTTGATCTTACCAGATTCACTGAACAGAGGTGAGGGGTGGGGTAGTGAGCACTGGGTCTGGGATGGCTGGGTGGCTGGATTTGTGGGTGCAGCCAGGGGATGACTTTTGCCTTTCTGAAAGTGCCTTTCTCCCTGTTCCTCCATCTTTGTCCCCTTGCCAGATATAAGAGCATTGTCAAATACAAGACAGCTTTCTATTCTTTCTACTTACCATTTGCTGCTGCTATGTTCATGGTGAGTAACAGTGAATGGGTGAAATTGTTCACATCAACACTAGTGCCTACCTTACTCATATAAGGGAGAAGGGCCTGGGGAGAGTGGGATCAGTTCTATTTTTCAGGAAAGGTGCTTGGTGGGGGCAGCTAGATAGCCTAGTGGATAGAGCATCAGCCCTGAAGTCAGGAGAACCTGAGTTCAAATCCGGCCTCAGAACAAACACTTAATACTAGCTGTGTGACCCTGGGCAAGTCACTTAACCCCAATTGCCTTAAAAAAAAAAAAGGAAAGGTGCTTGGCACAGGAAAATTTTAGTCTAGTTCAATAAACGCTTATTAAGTCCCCATGCTGGAATCTAGGGATACCACAATAAAATGTCCTTAAATAGGCAAGCAAAGAGCTCAGAATCTAGTAGTGAGCTGTTGTGCCTGTGTCTTTAAGAGGTCACCCAGGACACCTTCAAAAGGCAGGAAACTGAGAAAGATAAGGGATAAGCAAAAATGAAACAATCATTATCCTCAAGGAATTTCCAATCTAATGGGTTGGGGGTTAGGAGTTACAATCCTTGACCTCCCATGAAGACTGGAACCCAAAACTGCTGGATTCAGAGTCAGAAGTGAGAACCTTTGCACAATGGCCAGTTGGAGATGAGGATTTTTTAGCCCACTTTCTCTTCTCCCCACAGGCAGGCATAGATGGGGAGAAAGAACACACCAATGCCAAGAGCATCCTTCTGGACATGGGGGAATTTTTTCAAATTCAGGTATGAAAGCATCAGGCTCAGACATGAAACAGTCATTGACCTCCCTGCCTTCCCCAGGTGCACCCTTCATTTTCTGTTCTCATCCCCCCACTCAGGATGATTACCTTGACCTTTTTGGTGACCCAAGTGTGACTGGCAAGATTGGTACTGACATCCAGGACAACAAATGCAGCTGGCTGGTGGTGAAGTGCCTTCAGCTGGCATCATCTGAGCAAAGAAAGATGTTGGAGGTGTCTAGGGGTAGGGGTAGGGTGGAGGGAAGGATTCTAATCCATGCTCTTTCCTCTGGGACCCTGAGAAGAATGGAAGGGCAGGAGAAAATTCGGTCTGGATTTGGAAGTTCACCACTGAATGTTGAAGGGGGACATCTAGGATTGAGAGGTCCTCTGTGTGTGTGTGTGTGTGTAGGGCTGTGCTTAGGTGGGACAATGACTCTGTAAAAGGCAGAAATACATGAGACTATGGGTGTCTTACCCCCACCAGAAAGTAAGCATAATGAAAATAGGGAGTGTGCCCTTTCTAAACTTTGTATAGCCCCTGGGATACATAGTGCTGATAATTTGAGGAGGTGGTATGTGGAGTGGAGGTGCAAGGACAGGTCTTTGGGAGGGGACCTTAAGGTGTAGGTACTGGGAATTCTTCTATAGGAGGGCTGGAAGAAATGAGTAGGCTCTTAGTGGGTGCTGGGTAGATGTTCAGCAAAGGGATAGAGCCATGGAAGGCTATGCTTCTTTAACTCTTCTTCCCTTACCTTTTCCCCAATTCCAGGAGAATTATGGACAGAAAGATCCAGAGAAAGTTGCCAAAGTGAAGGAACTGTATGAGAAACTTGAATTGACTGCTCATTTCACCAAGTTTGAAGAAGAAAGTTACAGTAGACTGATGGGGCTCATTGAGAAGCATTCATCTCCCCTTCCCCCATCTATCTTCTTAGAAATGGCAAAGAAGATCTACAAACGTCAGAAGTGACTAAGGAGTTTGACCTGAGGAGGGGTACTGGGAGGGCAGGGCACCATGTGTGGAGTTTGGAGAGGATGTACTCAATAAATTATGGCTCTTTTACTCCAGTGTTTCTCTATTTGTCAACCTTCCCGTCTCCTACATAGCGTAAAGGTTAGAGATCTGACCTTGAAATTAAGGAGGTGGTCATGTAACCCTAAGTCCTCAATTACCTCCCCCTCCCACCAAGTCTTGAAGAGTATAAACTTGGAGACAAAGGGAATTTTCTTACTGGAGATCCCTTACAGTTGAAATCACAGGTCCAAGCCAAAAAAAAAATGTTGCTCAGCTTTCTGGGGAGCCTTCCCTACTGGTTGGGGAAGATATAGACCTGCTGTGGGGATGGGTGCTATCTTGGATTTGGTACCTTAATTGGATGCTTCCTCCCTTTGCTTCACCTTTGAATCCCTGGTTTCTGCTGCATCAGGGGATCTAGAATTTAGGGTGAATCAACCTGCTAGCATTGCCTAACTCCGTCACTCCCTGCAAAGTATGGGGCTGGTATTTGAAGCTTTTTAACCGGGCTACGGATTGGGGAACCGCTATACATGCGCCTCGGGGGGCGTGGCCTAAGGGAAATCCCGCCCCCGCGCGTAGGTGCGCAGAGGCGCAGGGAGGACTAACCTAGCGCTCCGCCCTCTCCCCACCCGGTACTGCGGGGCGGGGCGGGGCGGGGCGGGGGCCGGAGCCCGAACTAGGGAGGCAGCCGGGTGGGGAGGGGGGGAGGAGGCGGCTGCTGGAGGACGCAGGTGAGGAGGGGACCGGTGAGCTGGGGGAGGGGAGGGAGGATGGAGAAGCGGGGGGGTGGGGAGGAGGGGCGTGAGGACGAGGGTACATCCCTGGCTGGGATGGAAGCAAAAATGAAAAAATGAACGGAGAGATGGGGTGAGAACGGGGATGGACTGACAGACCCCGGGTTTGAGGGTGGCGCACGGATGAATGGACGGAACCACCTATCTGGGAGCAAAACTGAACCCAGGGTGGGACGAGCACGGATAGAGACTGAGGGACCTAGAAGAATAGACTAACGGAGGCTGAGGAGGGGACTGCGGCGGGAACAAACAGACCAAGGGTCCCTGGGAGTTCAATGGATGGCCTTGGGAGGACACTGGGGAGGGTTAGGCAGGGTGCGGATGGACCTAGACTACCCCCTTTTCCCTTTCTTGGTTAACCCTCCGGGTGCTGCTTGCGGCAGAAGCATCTTGGGGCGGGGCTGCCTCTCTCCCCTTTTAGCCGAGCCTTGAGCTTGGGGGAGGGCGGGGCAGAGCCAGGCTTGGGCCCAGGCTCTGGGTGCTGCAGAGCCCGGCACCGCCCTGGGTGGCTGTTAGCCCCCAGACCCATCGTCTCTCAAGGCAACGCCCACCTTCCTCCCCAGAGATTAGTAGATAAGAGCGGAGGTGGGGGTGGGGGGGTGGCGGGTAGGATATTCAGGGCGCAGCCGCATTCTCCTTAGGTATTAAAAGGACGTGGGGGGGGGATGTCCAGTCAGACCGGTCTCCACCCAGTAAGCACTGCAGTTCTAATTAATGGCTAATCGAGGCTAATTTGATTTCAGTGATGTCTCCTTTAACCGGAATGGTCGCCTCTCAGCCTCGAGACGACTAGGGTGGCTTCCCAGCCCGTGCAGCTCCTACCTTAGAAAAAAAAATGCTGCTTCTTGCTTTACTGAGCTTCTCGTCTCTGTTTTCTTTTTACTATCTTTCAGGTCTCCAGAGCCGCAGTCAGGTCAATCTGAAGGGCTGGGAGCACCTTGTTTTCTCTTCTAAGGATTTTGCCATCCTCCCCTTGGCACCATGCTTTCCCCACAACGGGCTTTGCTCTGTAACCTTAATCACATCCATCTTCAGCATGTCTCCCTAGGCCTGCACCTGTCCCGCCGTCCAGAGCTCAGGGAAGGGCCCCTGAGCACACCACCACCCCCTGGAGACACAGGGGGCAAAGAGAGTGGAGTACCTTGTAGTGGGACCTTGGTGGATGCCAACTCCAACAGTCCTGCAGTTCCCTGCCGTTGCTGCCGGGAGCATGGTCCAGAATTGGAAAATCATCAAGGGGAAACAGAGGAGGAAGAAGAGGGGGTAGTATCCCCCTCAGATCCTGGCTGCTCGTCTTCACTCAGCACCTGTTCAGATCTCACTCCTGATGAATCTCCTGTCTCCGTTTATTCCCGGGACTTCCCACCAGAGGAGGAAGCCCATCCTCAGCCTAGCATTATCCCTTTGGATGAAGGCTCTCCTCTGACCACAGGACGTGCTGACTGTAGCCCAGATAGCTTCTGCTGCTCCCCAGATTCTTGCTCTGGAGCCTCTTCCCCTTCTGTCACTGGTCTAGACTCCAACTGCAATGCTTTGCCCACGTTCCAGGACCATCACTCCTCAGCAGCGGGTGAAGAGGGAGAGGGAAGAGAGCAGGGTCTCCTTACCACTGAGCTCCTTGAACAGGCCTTGGAGACAGATAATGAGAAAACTGAAGCTGGCGGGAAAACTGGATCCAGTTGGAAAATCATTAATAGTTGTAAAATTGACTCTATTAACACTAACTCTGGCTGGAAAACTGACCCTGAAAATAATGACCCTGGCTGGCAACTCAATGGCAATTCAGACTCTACCTGGAAAACTAGTACTGAGAATACTGACTCTACCTGGAAACTTGCTGAGAATAGTGATTCTACCTGGAAAATTGGCCCTGGATACAGTGACTCCTCTTGGAAAACTAGTACTGAGAATTCAGACTCTAGCTGGAAAACCAATGCTGGGAAAATTGAAGGTGACGTCAATGGGGAACCTGTGCCCCACCGGACAATCACATCCTTTCATGAGCTGGCCCAGAAGCGGAAACGGGGCTCAGGGCTTCTTCTCCCCCCACAGGCCAAGAAGGACAGGAGTGACTGGTTAATCATCTTCTCCCCCGACACAGAACTGCCTCCCAGTGGGGCTCTGAATGGCTCCCCTGCCCCTCCCCGAGAGGTCACCACCTTCAAGGAGCTTCGATCCCGAAGTCGGGCCCCACCCCCCCCAGTGCCACCCAGGGACCCCCCAGCTGGCTGGGCCTTGGTCCCACCCAGGCCTCCACCTCCACCAGTACCACCCCGAAGGAAGAAGACCCGCTTGGGGCTGCAGCCCATTGCTGAAGGGAGGACTGGGGATGTTAGGCCTGGCAGCCCAGTGGCCGCTGACGATGTTCCTGTAGGGAAGGAACCTGCCCATCCCAGGGAGCCCCCTGACATAGAGGGTAAGGGGGTTCCCAGCTTGGAAGTGGTGGGTGGGGCGAGGCTGGCTGGGAAGGGCCTGGATGTGGGGGGCAGATCTGACCTGAGCCCTTCCCATCTCAGAGTTTCTGGAACCTCTCCTTCATGTACTGCCCCATTGTCTCCTCCCCCACCCCAACTTTTCCCTTCCTGTCCTCACCCCTCCCCTTTACCGGGGCCTGGGGAGAGCTCTGGGAAAGGGGGAGTAGGGGTGGTGTCATAAGGGGAGTGGGACTAATTTTATGCTCCCCTCTTTCTCCCTGCCCCTCCTCGCCTGGCTGCCCGTTCCGCTGCCCCCACCCCACCCTGCACCTGCTCTGTCCCCACCGCCTGTAGCTGGCCCCCTCCTCCTCCCTCGGCCCTTGGTTTTTCGGTTCTCGGCCGACGGTCGTCCCCTCTTAGAGGGCGCGGGAGCAGGGGGAGCCGGCTCCCTGCTCTTGGCCCCACTGGCTGGGTGGCCTGGCCCGGGGCTGCGACTGCTCGGGGGGTCTAGCCCCACGGAGGAGCAGCTGCTGCCGGTCCGCCTGTCGCCCGTAGGGGCTTATTCGCCCCCGGCCCGGGGGGGCCTTGCCCTGCCTGGCCAGCCCCGAGTTGGCGCTGCTGCTGTCCCCGCTCTTCCCCAGAAGCAGCACCTTTCCCTCTGCGGCTCCCCCTCCCCGCCAGGTAGCCGCCCCCCTGCCGCCACCGCCACAGTCGAAGGCCCCGCGCAGACCCAGGAGCCCGCCACCGCCACCCAGGCAACGTAAGACTGACTGTGTCCCTCACCTGGCCACGCCCCGAACACCTGGCCACGCCCTGCGCTCCTGGACCGCACCCGGCGGCCCGCCCTCCGCGGCGTCGGGGATGCTCTGGGCCCGTGGGCGTGCGGTCCTTCCCTACCGTGGTAACCACTGGGCTAACGGCTGGGGCTCTGGGCCTACCTGGGCCCAGAAAAGGGCGCTTCCCCACGGGATCCCCAAGAATGTTTTACTTGTCCCGGGGGCTTTCAGTCCCGGTCCACCCCAAAACTCATTGTCCCCTGGGGGGGGTCTAGTCCCGCCCCCTAGGAATTCATTGGTTCTTGGAGTTCTGGCCTCGCCCCCACCTCGCTACAGGGGGCTGGAAAAGCCCACTCGAGTCCATTGGTTTGTGCAAAGGACTCTAGTCCGTCCTTCCCGTGGCCTTTCCCATTGCCGTCCCCTCCCCAGTGTGGGCCAGGGCTGTAGGAAGCGAGGGCAGAGGAGGAGAAAAGGCGGGTTTGGGTCCTTGGTTTTCCCCTTTCCAGCCTCTTGCTCTCCCCTTGTCTCGTCTCCCCCTACCCCTGCTTCTGTCTGTCTGTCTGCCCTATTGGCCGTGGTTCCTCACGTGCTCTCCACGCCCCGAGCTGGGACGGGGGCGGGGTGAAGAACCGCCCCTCCCCTCGGAGGCCCAAGGCCCCTCCCTCCCAGCGGGAGGTAAGCCTGGCTCTGGACTTCCGGGAGTAAAGGACGTGGGAGGCCAGAGCAGGAACAAGGAAGGACGTTGCAATCATCCATGGGGTTTACTAGGATCGAAGGGTGAGGGGTTGAGCCCGTCCTCTGGGGCCACCCCTCAGGCTCCCTTGTCCTGCTGGCTCCCTAGATCTGCCCTCCCTTCATTCCCCAACTAGCACTAGGAATTGTTTTCTGGGGGATGGTTTAATTCATCTGGAGGGTGACTCCCTTAGCCAGGTTCTTCTGGTTTTATTTACACTCAGAGCAGGGTTAGTCAAGGCCATGTACACAATAATTTCTTAATAACTGAATTGAATCATTTTTCTACCTGCCCTTCAATTTCTCCCAGTCCGGAGTTCCTGGTCTTTTGCCGGTGTACCTGGGGCCCAATGCCTGTGGATGGCAGAAGCCAAGCAGGGATCTGGCCAGCTGCAAGAGGAGAAGAAAGGTAGTGACCTTGACTTTTGTCTTCTGACCCTTAATGCTTAACTTCTGGCCCCTTCTTCCAATGAACTGTCTTCCAGCCCTTTCCAGCACTACCCACTTCTCTTTGGCTCCTCATTCTGTACTAGGGAGGGCTGTTCTTTAAAGATAGACAAGCATATCCTTTTTCTTATCCTTCTTTTCCCTGAAGGCCTCCTGATTGCAGTTAGTGCCTCAGTGGACAAAATCATCTCCCATTTTGGGGCAGCCAGGAACCTCGTGCAAAAGGTTAGTGGGACTTGGGGGGATGGGAAAGTCATGTAGGGGAAGGGGCTGTGTTTGGGTGGGAGCTGGAACACTATGCCTTTCTGTTAAAACACAGGGGTAGGGAGTTGGCAGGGAGGGAGGGTGGAGTCCTACCTGGAGCCTGAGCAAGCAGGATTGGGGAAACTCTCAGGGACTGAGGGGATGGATTGGATGGTGGGTCTTTGATGTTCACTCTTCCTCATTGCCTAGGCCCAGTTGGGGGATAGCCGATTGAGCCCTGATGTGGGACATCTGGTGCTGACCACATTGTGCCCTGCCCTCCATGCCTTAGTGGCCGATGGACTAAAACCATTTAGAAAGGATCTCATAACAGGGCAGCGGAGGAGCAATCCTTGGAGTGTTGTGGAAGCATCTGTGAAACCTGGTGAGGTGGGGCAGAGAGTGCCCTGAGAGAAAGTGGGGCTCTGGAAATGGGAGTTGTAGCACAGAGAGAGAGAGAGTGAGTGTGTGTGTGTGTGTGTGTGTGTGTGTGTGTGTGTAGAGGCATTAGTGGTCTCACCACAGAGTGTCTACACAATACTATCTCCCACTCTGTGTCCCCAGGTTCCTGCGCCCACTCCCTGGGAAACCTGTATAATCAGGTCAGCCGACTGACCCCTCTCAGCAGTAGCCGAAGCCGATTCCATGCCTTCATCCTCGGCCTCCTCAAGTGAGACCCCAACACCTGTCCCCTGGGACTCCTGCTGCTGTGAGGCTCTCCTGAGTACCTTGTATAGGGTGTCCCAAGCAGACCCTAGGAGATCTTTCCCACCCCTGACCTCCCACCCCCTCTCCTCTTTTGCTATTGTATCTCATACAGAAGACAGTAAAGATTTGGGAACAGGGGACTGGGGTTGAGGTCCTTGAGAATCTCATTCTTATTTGCTATGTGACCTTGGGGGAGTCACCATTACCTCTTTATGTGAATTTCCTCACCTGTAAAAGGAGAGGGTCCAGTTAGGTGGTCACTGAGGTCCCTTCCAGATCTGCCTGTAACCCTGTGAGCTTATTAGGTCTTTCCTGGCCTCAGTTCTCTAACTTCTTTTCTTACTTCTATCTCCCCTTATAGCACAAAACAGCTGGAGATATGGTTTTCCAACCTTCAAGAGGATACAGGTCAGAAGGCCTGGGCATGGTTTGGGAAAGATGGAGGTAGGGGGAAAAGAAAGCATGTGGACTGGTGGGAGGGGTACCCTCTAGTTGAACTTTATGAGTTTGTTTTTTTTCCCAGCCCCTGAATTAGTCCAGTAGGGCTCATTGTATATTTTTTAAAATAAATGAATGTGAGGACAGTAACTATGAGGAGTTGAAAACACAAACCCTAGGGGTCTGAGGGGTTGGGGTTATGTGTTAGTTTGTGGCTAGGACAGGGGTGAGGAACCTTCAGACTTGAGGCCACATGTGGCTCTCTAGGTCCTCAAGTGCGGCCCTTTGAATCCAAACTTCCCAGAACAAATCCTTTCATTAAGAGTATTTGTTCCTCACCCACCCTTAGCCACTAGGATCTAATACTCCCCTTCTCCATCATCTCTAGGCCTCCTGTCCATATTGTACCTGCCTACAGCCTTCTTTTCACTGGCTCGAGGAGGCTGCCCGTCCCTTTCCACTGAGCTGTTGCTTCTGCTCCAGCCTCTGTCTGTCCTCACCTTCCACCTGGATCTCCTATTTGAGCACCACCATCACCTGCCCTTGGGACCTCCCCATCCCCCAACTCCCCCAGGACCGCCACCTGCACTGCAGCAGACAGTACAGGCTGTGTTGGGCTGGGGGGAATGGTTGGCCCAGAGTCTTCGGGGAGGTGCAGGCGAGGCCCCCAAAGGTCCCTCTCCATCTAGTGGCTGGTGGGAACAGCTGACCCAGGCTTCCCGGGTCTATGCCTCAGGTGGGGCGGAGGGCTTCCCTCTTCCCCGCTGGGGTTCCCGGAAACAGGGTGCTCCAAATGAGAGCACGAAGGAAAATCTGCCATCAGAAGAAGAGCCCGTCCAGACCAGACGCATGTGGCTGGGGAGACTGTTTGGGGTTCCAGCAGGGCCAACAGAGACAGACTGTGGTCCATTAAAGTCCAGGTAATTGGGGCTACAGGTTCCTAATGATCCTCTTAAGCCCTTAATGGCCTTTGACTCCAACTATTCCACTTGAAGACCACTCAGTGACCCCTAATCCTTCTCTTCTACCATTTCTATATACAGGTGTTTGACACTACATTAATTAGGTCTGCAAAAACGCCACATTGGACAAAAAAAATGTTTCAGGATATCAATGTCATAAAAAGGCCATTTATAGAAAAATGTCACATAGGATTTTGTCCTCTAAGATGGGATTTAGTAATGAGTTGTAGAACATGGCTGATTGGGGTAATCTGCAGAGCATACTGTATGTGCTTGTGATTGTGGCCCCACAGTGAGAGGTTGGACAAACTTCCTAGCCCCCGTAGTCTCCTGGGACCCTAGAAACACCACCATAGGGATCCTAAAACCTCCTTTCTGACCCTAATAGGGACGTTGACCCCGAACCGTACTACAGTGAACATTTGGCCTTTTGATGACCCTTCAACCTCTCCTCTCACACCAAACTCCCAGTTTTTCCTAGAAGGGGGCATGGTGTAGGAAGTGAGTCCAGTTCCTTAAACCTGGTCACCCCTCCAGGAGACCATCCAGCTGGCTATCTCCAGCTGTGAGCGTGCTGGCCTTGGTGAGAAAGGGTGGTCCCCCTGAGCCAAGCTTGCCACCGGAAGAGCTCGAGGCCCCAGCCCCCAGGGAGCTCCCCGTGCAGAGGTGAGGAGGAAAAGGGAAAGGACACTAATACTAGAGGCCTCAGGTTGCTCTCGCTCACCCTTATCTCTGTGTATCCTCACAGGGCAGTCCGGGCCCTCTGTGATCACACCGCAGCTGGGCCTGATCAGCTGAGCTTCCGACGTGGGGAGGTGCTGCATGTGGTCTCCACCGTGGACGAGGACTGGCTCCAGTGTGGGCGGGATGGGGCTGAGGGTCTTGTGCCTGTGGGGTACACCTCCCTCATTCTCTAGCCTTGGAACCCCTTCTCCCTTCCTCTCTTGTGTATGTGCCACCCCCTCCGGTCACCTGGGAATGGAATGACCCTGGAGCATCCTTCCCCTCACATAAAATGAAGCTTACCAGGAGCACTTTCCCCATCTGTAAAATGGAACTATCCTCCTTGGCTCACTCGTATTTAATATGGAACTTCCCTTCCTCATACTCCTATCTGTAAATTTCCATCCATCCCTGATCTGTAAAGTGGAACTTGTTCTTTTGCCTGACTCCTCCCATATGTAATATGGAGCTGCATTCTTCCCCCCCTGCCCCCATCTGTAAAGTGGAAATGCCTTCTTTGTCCTCATCTGTGGGTAAGCTCTACCAATATACTTGCCCCATCCCACTTCCTCCCCTACCCAAGTGGATGGAATCTTAAATCTGTACCTACCCCCTCCATTGGTCTGTATTTATTGAGCAATCATGGTGAACTTATATACTGTAGCACTGACCTCATTAGTAGGGGGCCTTTGGAGGCTGCCCCACTTAATTCATGGTCGCAATAAAGTGTGGGAGCTGAGTTTTCTCTTGTCTGCCTTGAAAAATGGGGCATGTGGGGGACTAAATGGTGCTTGGGTCAGGGGAAGAAGCCACCCCTTTTTGGGTAGTTTGAGGAATCCACCTGGTACTTCCGCATCCCTCCCACCACCCACATACACCCCAGCCTCAAGAAGTGGCTTGTCCAGCAGTGGTAAATTGCGGAAATGGTGTTGGAGCCCACGTTCATGGGCTGATAAACCTAGGGCTGGCAGGGACCTTACAAGTGATCTAGTCAAATACATCCCTCTTCCTGTTCCCCTCCCTCTGCGCTTTACAGATGAGAAAACAAGGCTAGGTGAACTAAAGTGATTTGTGCAAGGTCATGCACCATCAGCCCTGGCATTTGAACTCCAGTCCTCATCCCACATCTTTCCTCTGCACCACTGTTCTTTTCTGACTGCTTCCTCAGAGAGGGGGATGCCAGAGACTTGTTCCTGGCCTTGGAGATGGTATAGAGAGAGAGGGAAGCATACTGTGGGTGACAAAGAAGAGGCACTATTAATGTGGCCTGGAAAAAGGCTTGGAGCTGGGTTTAGTACAGTAGAAATGAGGGGGAAAGCCTCCGGGATTTGAACTGTTTTGAAGGAAGCCAGGGAACCTAAGGCAGAGGCGAAGGGCTTAGCTTTCCCAGCATGCATCGAAACAGGAGATGGAGTGTTGGGTTCAAGGAACTGATAAGTAGGCTGCTGTTGCTGGATCACAGAATTTTTAGAAAATGGGAAGTCTGGAAAGGTAGGGAGGAGCCACATTACGAAGAGCTTTATAATTTTTTCTAATTAAACATTTTCTTTTAACCTAACCCCTTCCCATTTAAAACATGTACCAGCTTGTAACAAAATTGAGCAAAACACATTCACCCATTGGCCACGCGCAAAAATGTAGGTCTCATTCTGCATCTTGCTTTTTTTTTTTTTTGGTGAGGCAATTGGTCAAGGGACTTGGTCAGGGTCACACAGCTAGTCAAGTGTCTGAGGCTGGATCTGTTCTGCATCTTGAGCACATCCCCTCTCTTCATCACTGGTCTTCGGGCATCATGATTGGTCATTGCATTGATCAAAGTTCTCAGGTCTTTCAGAGTTATTTGTCTTTTCAATATTGTTGCCATTGTATAAATGGTGACTGGGTTTCTCCAAAATCATTCCTTTCATCCTTTCCTAATATCACAATAGGATTCTGTTACATTCATGTACCATGATATATTGAGCCATTCCCCAGTCAGTACACACACCTTATTTTCCAGGTCTTTGCCACCACAAAAAGATAGATTAATAGATAGATAGGTAGTTAGGTGATTGATAGATTGGTAGCTAGATAAAGGGTTTATTAAACCACACTGAACTGAGCGCTTCGGATACTCATAAAAGTAAGGAATGTATTACCTAGGAACTTATCTACTAACAAAGGAAGATAACACATGAAGAGAAACAGGAAAGTTGGGGGCAAAGGGAAGGAGATATTTCTCAAGGTGGTGGTATGTCAAGTACAGTTGTTTTATAGCCGTGTTTAACTCTGTGACCCCATTTGGGGTTCTCTTGGCAAAGATATTGGAGTGGTTTGCCATTTCCTTCTCAAGCTCATTTTACAGATGAAGACACTGGGGCAAACAGGGTTAAGTGACTTGCCCAGGGTCACACAGCTAGATGTGTCCGAGACCAGTAAGGGAGCAGTCCAAATTGCAAGATGATCAACTGTGTCAAAGTCTGCAGAGAAGTCAAAGAACTGGGCTGAAAAAAGAGCTTTAGATTTGATAGTTAAGAAATCATTGGTTACTAGAGAGCATAGTTTCAGTTTAGAAATCAGATGGGAAAAAGTTTAGAAGAGAAAGAGGTTTCATTTTCCAGAAAAGATCAGAGAGGCAGTGTGGCAGAGGGCTAGATTTGGTGTCAGGACCTTGGTTCAAATTTCAGACAGAGACAACTTTTTCACCACAACTGACAGCAAAAGGGGATCCAGGAGAGAGCCAGGAAGTGTACTGGATGTAGTAGAAAAGTATATGTGATGGGAGGGGGAGCTGTCTTCCCCCTGTAGGAAACCAGGGCAGAGTCACTATTGCTTTATGTGCCAGCCCTAGCCTCATGCAGGGCCTGGGCTTGGAGGCCTCTCACCACAGGACCCCAGTGCCCAAGGATCTCCTGCAGCTTGTTCCTGAGTCACTGTAACAAGACTGAGCATTCAGGTGTGTGGGTGGCCATTACTATCACCAAACCTTTGCTCCAGCATCAGCCCCCCACAGGGGTGGGACTTCTGAGGCCTCTGTGTGCTGGAATGGACTGCTCTAGACTTACTGGCCTGGTGAAAAGTAGCACCTACTCTCCCCCTGTCATCATAAACCTCCCATTTTCCACCAAGTATTCAGGCAGGTGGGGGGCCTCCACTAAGACCATGGCTTTTTTTTGGGGGGGTGAGGCAATCGGGGTTAAGTGACTTGCCCAGGATTGCACAGCTAGTAAGTGTCATGTGTCTGAGGCCAGATCTGAAGACCATGGCTTTTGCTATGTGCCAGGTATAGTGTACTGGAGATTCAAGAAAAGGTAAAGGGTAGTGCCTGCTCCCAAACTCTCAAGTCTTATGGAGACAACATGCAAATAGCTATGTGCTAATGAGCTATGTAAAGGAAAAATTGTAAATAAGCAACAGATGGAAAGCACTAGACTTAAGGGGGTATCAGGAAAGATTTCTTGTAAAAGGTGAGATTTTAGCTGGGACTTGAAAGAAGCCAGGGAAGCCAGGAGGCAGAGATGAAGAGGGAGAGAATTCCAGGCATGGAGGACAACCAGTGAAAATGACTGACTCTCAGAGTTAAGAGATGTCTTGTGGTAGGAAGAGCCAAAAAGGCCAGTGTCACATACATAGAATTGGTTAATATGTGGGGTGGGGGAAGGGGTGATATAAGGTGTAAGAAGACTGAAAAAAGGTGTGGGGGAAGCAGGTTATGAAAGACTTTGAATGCCAAACAGAGGGTTTTCTATTTGATCCTGGAGGTGATAGGGGGCCACTGGAATAGAGGGATTACCTGGTCATATTTGCACTTTAGGAAGATCACTCTGGCAGCCGAGTGGAGAACGGATCTGGAATAGGGAGAGACTTGGGGCACAGAGACTGACCAGAAGGCTATTGTAATAGTCTACAGATGTGGGTCTGCACCAGTGAGGTGGCAGTGTCAGAGGAGAGGTGTTATGAAGGTAAAATTAGCAGGTTTTGGCAACAGTTGATCAGTAAACATTAAGAGTCGACTATGTGCCAGGTACTGAGATAATTCTAGACCAACTGGATATGGGGGTGAGAGAGTGAGGAGTGCAGGAAGACACCTCAATTTTGAACCTGGGTAAACGAGAGGATGGTGGTCCCCTCAATAGTAATAGAGGAGTTAGAAAAGGGAGTGTTTGTGGGAAAAGATGAGTTCAGTTTTGGACATGTCGAGTTTAAGATTGTCTAATGGGACATCCTGTTGAAGATGTTTAATAGGCAGTTGAAGATGCCAGATTGGAGGTTGGCAGAGAGGTTAGGGAAGAAGGGGTAGATTTGAGAATTCCCAACATATATAAATCCATGGGAGATGTAGTTCATCTTTGGTTCTCAAAGAGGACCAATGACATCACAAAGGTGATGTCTTGACTTGCATATGAATTGGATTTCAGTGAGGCAGAGTTGTGCAGTCACCAGCCCCACTCTCTCCTCCAGAGTTACTGACAATACCATGGGGAGATGATGAGATCACCAAGTGAAGCAGTGTAGAAGAAGAGAGAAAAGAGGGTCCGGGACAGGGCCCTGTAGGATACCCGTGGTTAGTGAGCATGACCTGGATGAAGATCAGTAAGAGGAGACTGAGCAGGAATGGTCTCGTAGGTAGGAGGAGAACCAGGAGACAGCAGTGTCACAAAAACCTAGAGAGGAGAGAGTATCAAGGAGAAGAGAGTGATTGACAATGTCAGTGGCTGCAGAGAGGTCAAGAAGGATGAGGATAGAAGAAAGGCCATTAGACTGGTCAGTTAAGAGATCATTAGCAACTTTGGAGAGAGCAGTTTCAGTTGAATGAGGAGGTTGGAAGCCAGATCATAGAGAGCTTGGAAGGTGGTGAGACAAAAGTAAGTGGAGGCACCTATTGTAGACAGCCTTCTCAGGGAGGAGAGATATGGGATGATACCTAGAGGGGATTCTGAGGGTGAAGGATACATGGCCATGTTTGCAGGTAGTAGGGAAATAGCCAATAGACAGGGACAGGTTGAAGATAAGTGAGAGTGGGGATGACAGAGGGGAGAAATCTGTTGGATGGACTGGGATCGCTTGTGCATGTAGAGGGCTTTGCCTCGGCAAAGGGCCACCTCATTATGTGGGACGGAAGAAGGAGGAGATTGTGGCTGATGGCATCTGGCTGATATAAGATAAGGAGGAGGGGAGGAAGCTCTTGATAAATGATCTCATTGTTTCCAGTAAAACATGAGGCAAGATTCTCAGCTGAGATGATAGGGGGAGGAAGAGCCATGAGAAGTTGAGGAGGGAAGAAAAGGTTTGGAAGAGCTACTATAGCGAATGGGATAATGAGTTAATTAGGGAGATAGAAAAGGATTGCTTGGCTGAAGTGATGGCCCAGTTGAGGACATTACATAAATTTGTAGTAGACCTGTCAGCACAATTTCATGACTTTCTCCAGCTTCATTCAATAGCATGTTTTAAGGAATGAATGCAGGGGATGGTGGGAGTGATCCAAGAGACTTGGCAAGGCAAGATCCATGATATGATAAGGGGGCAAAGGACTCAAGAGGACAGTGTAGAGTTGGTTCACCAAGGAGTCCCACTGGGGAGGAAGGAGAGCACAGCTAATGAGAGGGTGATATTCTGGGAGAGATTGGGAGAGATTCTGGCTGAGGGATTGGAGGTCATGGTGTATGAAGACCAGGGTTTGAGGTTGCAAGGCAGAAGAAGTGGAATGACAAAAGATTATGATCAGAGAAGGGAATTTGAAGAGTTCACAAACATGGAA